TCTTTGAGGACATCAAGGACAGACTTACATAATTCCTGTCCCATTGCTGCTAAAAAGCAGTCAGTTCTGACATTAATGCTTTTTAAAAAATACTTGCAATAATTTCGCTCATCGACACAATTAAATAAATAAATTTGCCATGTTTGAAAAAAAACATTTAGTCTTTCATGAATTATTTAATGTTTGCAAATTGTGTGTAAGGACTGACTACAGGCAGACTGACACCCTTTCGATTTTGTGGTTTTGATGGTTTCTTGTCCAGATATTGGCTCACCCACAGCAGAGGACTGTGGCTGACTGAGCTCCCAGGAATCAAAGTAGCCTTACTAAGTCTCGCCTCAGACTACCGACAACCTACGCCCGACGGAAACAAACATTCATGGAAGCACAGTGGTTCCTGCCTCCCACGTGCATGTGTGTATGAGTCAGCAGAAAAATTCAAACCATATGGTTTAACAGTGTCCAGTGGAAAATTATAAGTCTGCAAGTTAGATTAAAAAAATATCTATTGTTTTGTTTGCAGTGACTGGAAAAGGTTACAGACAAAAAGACTTCTGGTGAAAGAGCACATCTTTTTCCAAACGTGGCACTTTTGTACTATAAAAAACAAAATATAATAATCTTCATATTTGTGTTTTTAGTATTGTAACAGGCTAATAATGATTAACTGGGGGTACTGTCCTCATTAAAACGTCTCTCCTGTACAGTAGAGGGCCTTGTACACTGTGACTTTGACAGTAAGGACAGTATGACCCAAAAGTGGCTCCAGCATCAATGGAGGAACACAGCAGGACTGTAAAACTAGGATGAGGGCCTTGTCCTCCTCCCAGTAAAACCACATGAGCTGTACGTTGTAAAGATGGAGGGGGAACAGGTATAAAAATCACTTGTGTGCAGTTAATTAGCAGTCGTCCTTCAAGCAGATGCCAAGATAATCTGCTTGAGGAGAAATGCTATTAAGGTTCTCTCCTCCTAAGAGGTGTGTGTGTTTAAAAGTCACCTTGGGAGGCCAAATTGACGAGATAAGTGATGGCGCAAACAGCCTGAATCTGGGGACCCGCCAGGAGGAGAGGGGACGGAGAGTCTGTGCGGGTCTTAAGAGATGTGGTTCCAAGTAGGACAGGGTCCTGTTGTGAATCCTCCGCCTCCTGAACGCCCTTTCTGTGGATAAGCTGGAGGAGTGTCTGCAGCACCACATGTCCCTCCACTTTCCAGGGGCTCCTGTCATGCTTTAAGATTTGCGTCAAAATAAAAAAGTGTGTTTTCACGAGGACTGAGCGTGCACTATTACAGGACAGGCCTATAGTGGCCAACCCCCTCTCTCGTGCTTTTTTAGCTTATCTAGGTCATCAATGACAACATGTGCGAAGCGGAAGGAGTCAATTCATCATCTTGTGGTGATTAATTAGGGCTTTGCAGCGACGGGCCCTTACCTTCTGCTGCCGCCTCGCCATGTCTGTGGGCTGCTTGGCGTTGAACGGGTACGCGATGCACCGCATGACGAACACATAGAGCTGCAGCTTCTTTTTGCGCTCCTCTTCCTCCCGGTGCATCTTCTCCAGGTCCTCCTTCTCCTCGCTGACGGCGGAGGGGCTCGGGCTCGTCGGCCGGGCGCTGCTGCGGCTGCTGCTGCTGGGCGCCAGTCCGCCCGAGCTCTCGCTGGTCCGGCTCGGCGAGATGCGGGATCCGCCGGCCTGAGGTGCCATTGCCTCCTTGCACTCCTCCTCCACTATCCCGTCCGACTCCTCCTCGCTGGACGACGGGTCCAACATGTTCTCGCTTGCTTTAGGACCGATGCGCGCCCCCCCTCGCAGATCCTACCCTAACCCGAGCCCGAGGACGGCGGTGTCCACAGACTGGGGGGTCTTCTCCGAGATTTTCAGAGTCGAACGCGTCCGAAGTTGAGACAGGGAACAGGCCCTGGTTGTGTACTACTTGCTGGCTGAGAGGATGTCAGCAGGACGGAGTGGTGCTGGAGAGGAGTCTGCTTCACTCTGGGCTCTCTCCGCCTGCGCCGAGCAGCCGACGCTACGCATTTTCTGCGTTTTATTGGTCGGTCAGTGCTGCGGATGTGAGGAGGGGAGGAGGGGAGTGAGGGAGCCGAGGGGGAGGGGGTGGGGGGTTAGTGTAACTACAGCTGAACGAGCTGCCGGAGGTGGCCTCTCCCCTCCTGGCGGGCGGGTACTGAGGTTCGCTGAGGTTTGGTTGGCCGGGAGCTGGCCGTGGTCCTGAACTCTGACGAGGAGCGGAGCCTGAAGGATCACATGTGGCTCSTGTAGCTCCTCATGATATCCTGCAGTGGAACACCTAAGATGGCTGCCACAGGGCTACTCTCAGCTTGCCACTGACTGAACTGGGTTATACTCTGTGGAGTGTAAGTGCAGCAGAGAAAAGGATGCAGAACAGAGAGCATCAGTGATTTCCTATTTGTCTCAACTCAAGCCGCCTTGAAGGGAGGGGCAGCCAGCAGGACTGGGCTGCTCCTCCTCTTCATCTCTCACTATCTCTCTCTTTATGTGTGTGTTTGTAGGGGTGTGTTTGTGTGCGAGCTTCTGTACTTGACAGACATAAACTGTTGCTGCATAGAGGCCCAATGATATCAAAGATTTGCACCACACCAAAGCCTTGCAGGCAACATGCAGGTTGAATAAAGGCCTGCTGCTGTTTGCTGCATCAGAGTTACTGACCAAATGACCAACATTAAACACACAATAAGTTTACCTTTAGGCCCACTTTTTACTGCATTTTATGTGCAAGTGAGTTCATAAAGTTTATTCATAAAGCACCTTTACAAGGTTCAAGAAAATGTGTTTCACAATAACAATATATGAAAATAAAGAATTAGCATTAAACTCGAAAAATGTGGAGCATAAACACAAGACAAATGTGGACTCTGAGAACTAAGTGGAGAAACTGAAACTGAGTTGTTAAAACTAGGAACACCAGTTCAAAGAAACAGAACACCAGCCAAAATTAGCAAAATGCTACTGAAAAGCTAAAAGTGGCTGCTAAAAAAAGCAGACTTCCAGCAGAAAATAGCAAAAGCACAACTAAAATGTACATGCCTCGAAAAATGCTAACTAAAATCTAAAAGTAGCAAAACACTCAAATTAGCTACAAAAAAATCCACCCTTTTTTTGGATGAAAAACAATTTTCAGTTGAAAAAACTTGAAAAACTAAGTTTAACATATTGGGGACAATAATTTAAGTCGCTCCAAAAAACCAAGGCAGTTGTAATCTTAAACATTATTTTGTGAATTGTCATTACTTCTGTCTTTAGGTTGTAGGTCATTGCAACAGATGAAAGTGCTACTAACTTCCATGCTGTTGTTGCTGAAATGGATAATTTTCTAAAAACTCACCTCTGAAAAAGTCATAAACTCTTTAATCTGTGATTCAGAAACCATTCTGAGTTGTGTTCTTTTATGTTGTCACATTCAGGCTTGATTTGGCATTTGTGTTGAAGTTTTGGTTGCTGACTGTAGCTGACACCATGAGTGAGAGGTCTGCGTCAGAGGGAAAATCGCCAGGACAGGTAAGTGTCATCGAGGAGTAATCATGATGGCTAAGACTGTATATATATATATATATATATATATATAATTTTTTTAACAGAATAGAAAATCTGAACACGAGTCAAAGACAAACACATGAGATCATCAGAGCTGCA